ATTTTATCCATAGAACAGATTAACCTTTTTCAACCGGAACTTCTGTGAAGAGAGAACAACCTGTGGCTTCTTGTAGTTATAGATTCTTCAATCCCATCTTTTCCCTTAAAAACCTTCCAGTGGGCACATAGGCTCTAAGGACATAAACTGGTTTAAGTAATCAGAAACTAGTTTAAACCTGTAATAGAACAGAAGCTCAGTGTACATAAATCAGTTTCAAAATGGCTGAAACCAGTTTAAGAAAAGCCTGGTTAAATGTAGTGTAAGACTTAACTGATTTGGGTCAAACCAGCAGCTCTCAGCAACAGCAGCATGTAGAGGCCGCAGTGGGGCCTGTATGGCACTGACTGCAGGGCCTGGTGCAGTCACCCCAATTCACTTCCCCACCCCCCTAGGGACGGCCCTGCCCAGACCCCTTCCTGGTTAAAGTTAAATCACAGTCCCCCAGCATCCCAGCATGCTTTCCAGCCCTGGGCTAAGCTGTGCTGTCTGCTCCATCAGAGAGAGTTTTTTTGTTGTTTTTTTGTTGGGGGGGGGGGCAGGGAGAGGGACTGCCTCCCTCCCCAGGCAAACCCCTGCTGGGGTCTGGAGCCAGGAAGGAGGGTTAAACACCCCTTTCCCCACTCAAACTTACTGCTGGCTGCCACTGTGGACTACAAATCCCAGAGGGCCCTAAATGCAGGAAGAAGAAGTGATGAGCAACCCTGCAGAGTCCTAATGTTGTGATTCTGGACTGAAAATCCAAGAGACATCAGAGGCAGCAGGAAGAGGAAGCATACATACAACCCGTGCTGGCTGTGCACCAGAGAGCCATGCTTTAGTGTGCCCCCCGGTTTCTGGCCAGAGTCACTGCAGCCATGTGGCTGCATTTCCTGAATCAAAAGCAAACGTGTGTCGAATTATTTCTCAGTTTAATCTCTGCAGCTTCGACCAACCTGCAAAGACTGAATCGATTCAGTCTCAGACTTCTTCACTGTCTGTACATAGCCAGGAAGCTTTGCTCCACAGAAAGATGTTGCCCAAACTGCACCCATTAGTTAAATCCTGCCTCTGTATGGCAGAATTCCCCAGTGTCATCTCCCTAACCCTCATCCTGATTTGGTTTAGGACATTAATTTGACTGACCCTTAAGTGAGTTACTTCTTTTATGTTCTTCCCAGGGCCTAAATGTCCTGTAAAATTTAAAGTATCACGATAAAAGTAGCACTTAAAGCAGGGGTTGTCAACCAGGGGCATGCATACCCCAAGGGGTACTTGGAAAGGGGCTAGGGGGTACAGACAGGCAGGGACAGAGCGCCACCACCCACCCAGACACGGTGAAGGGTGGGGGAGGAAGATACCCCCCGATTTAAAGCATAACATTTAAAATACCATGATAAAATATCAAGACCTCCAGGCATGTAGGGGCTATTTCTAACCTGGTCAATCAGCAGCCACACAGTAGGGTTTGGTTTTATTAAGAAAGAAATGAACGATAATACAATGCAATTCAAACTTGGTGGCTTACTTCACACTTTACATCTGCTCTTCGTACAAAGCCATTCTCATGTCCTTTTAGCCACATGTGCCAACAAGCTACCTGCTTCTGCAAGTTAGTAGAGCCCACTCACGTTGCATTTCTATAAGAGAAAATACATGGGTTAAACTCTATGCATGTGTATTTATTGTTGCAGGGTCGGTCCTGTAATCTTTTTGCCAAAGGCTTAACACCTGCTAATACAGTAGATTGTTTTAGGCAAATATTGTCAACCTGTTACACAAGTTATATTCTTCATAGCCTAGTTTATTTTAAAGAATTCTGCAAAACTCATCCATTCTACATGTACATATGAGTTCGGCAATTTGAAAAACATAATATTAACATTATAAAGAAAATTGCAGCACCACAAGGATAAAAACCAGGTAGCACTGCCAACTTGGTCACTTCAAAATAGGCCTCAGATTCATTATGTTAATGGTGTTTAAACTGTTTAAAGTAACCTTTTGAATTGCTAATAGAAGATCTTACTAAAAGGTGCCAGTTAATAAGAAAAAGCAATTAAGAAGTTAATTTCAGTGTTAATTTCTTCTTATTAGCCAGGTCTAATACAGACATTTCAGCTTAGAAGCCTTATGAAACTTGAACTAGTGTTAATTGTTAAAAAACCTAACTGATACATGACACTGATCTTTTAGGCATAGCAACCTTGAACCAAAGGGATTATTCTAACAGAAAGCCTCATTAATCCTGTATGTGGAAAAGACCAATTTAGTGAAGTACAACAAAAATGGAAGGGAATGCAAACATTTTCCTTAAAAGAGTCTTATCAACTTTTAGGAGAATCAAGTGACAGCTGCTGAGAAAAATACTCATTACTACAACAAAAATAAAGTGTAATGCCATAACTAAAAGACACCAGAGTACCTGGCCAAATTTGTGCCTGACAAAAATATAATGAAACCAATAATATTTACACCAGACTAAGACTTTGCCCAATATCATTTTACTAATACCAATTTGTGTCAGTGGTTTGTGTACTGCATTAGTACTGTCTAACACATAATTTTGTAAACATTTAAGATCTTTAAGAATAGAAATGTTTCCTTTTAAACTTAGATTTCTTAAGCAATACTAACAGCATAATTTTATAGTTCCTTTTCTAGCAAAGGAAATATTACCACTAATTTCTTGCTGTATGCTTTTTATTTATTTTTATTGAAATATAGCTTTGTATTTCCTTAAACCTGCAGGGCACTCTTATATAGTGCTATTTTTTTCTTGTGATTACTCAGCTAACTTACAGTTTAACCAAATGGGTGTTTTGCAGTTTCCCCCTTATCTCTGGAGCTAAATATTTTAGTTGTGTTAAAAGGCAACTGCTTTAGTAATGTTTCTCTTTTTATTATTCCCTAGGATGAGATGGAGCTTTAATGTTTTTAAAATATATATGAGTACCAGTTTGCAAGCATTTTGCCCTCTATTACTTAAGTTCTGTAATTTAAGTAGATATTTGGATCTACTAAAAAGACAGCCCCAAATGGTTTGACTACCCAGCTACTTGCTTACACAAAGAGGACATTTCAAAGCAATTTATCCTCTATTTTATGGCAAACTTATCTTTCAAAAAAAGAGGAAAAATTAAATATATGTTTGTCTTATGACTCATTTTGTTTGTAAACAACATGGCTAAGTACAGAAGTTCAACAAGCCCAAGGAAGAATCAATTCAATCTTCACAGGTTTTTCTAAACCTCTTAGATTGAACTAATAACAAACATGTTCAGCGTTCAGGTGGCCAGAACAGGCAGAAGCCAGTTATTAATTGCCACCACTTCACTTGGATCAAAATCCTGATCCATGGCGAGCTCTGAGGGCTGGATGCCACGGCTATGCAGCCTACATCTGGCCCACAGGCTAGGGGTTGAGCACCCCTGGCCTAGAGGATCAGTGGTTCCTTCTGGCCCCATTATCTGTGAATTCTTGCCTGCTATAGTCATGTTTTGAAACCCGTCCGGCATATAGCTTTAGTTTTAGTTTTGTTTTGAAAAAAAAAATGTTTCTCTCTCACTTTGAGAACTCAAAAGCTGCATAAATGTGGGCCCCAACTTCTCATACATGCAAAGAAAACCACCACGAACCAGGAGCACATCCAGGCCAGATGAACCTTCCAAGGAAACATTTCTTTTCCCTTCTTTCAGGAAGGCAGCCTTACCTGACAAGGCACCTGTGCCATATCCAGATGAGTGTGCGTGTGTGCCACGTGGCACTGCAGACCCGTCTGCAGCACCACACATCCCACATACAAGCGTTCCCAGTGCTGCTGGCACAGGGTTTTTTTCACCTTGGGATCTCCCACACTCATTCCACACCAAAAAAAAGTGGGGCGGTGCGTGCGGCAGCAGTGCACGCCAGCCAAGATCAGAGGTTGGCCACCTGGAGCCCTTTTTGGGCTGCCAGCTGCGGGAGCACCTGGTTGCAGCTCCCCAAGGCCCCCAGGCAAGGCTGCTCAAGCCACCACAGCTGCTGACCCCAGCATCCCCTACCCACCTAGGGTTACCTGCCCTGGCCGGGGACATTGCCAGGGAACAAGAAGCAGTCACACAAGGTGGACGACTGCTTCTTGACCCCAGGAACCAAACTTCCACACTCATGCTGGCAGGGCCCTGCACAGCGGAACATCTTGAACCACTAAATCATAAGGCAAGAGCCAGAGGAGCTGGTGGGACTGGAGCGGGCAGGGAGCAGCAGAGGGGACTTGGGCAAAGTAAGCCCCACACAGACAGAGGCTGCCAGAAATTAAAGCAACAAACAGAAAAAGATCGAGGGGAAAACCCTGTAGCTGCGTAAATGGGGTAAAAAGAAGGTTCCGGGTAATGTGGGGCCCCTGCAGGACACACTAGGAAATTTGG